CTCTCTCTCTCTCTCTCTCTCTCTCTCTCTCTCTCTCAGCGAATAATCTTTTACAGTAGTTTCTATATACTTTGCTTCTAACCTGTCTCTCTCTCTCTCAAACAATTCACATGGTGTCCCCTACCTCAGGCACCGCGTATATCTCAGATGTTTGCCTACAGTGGGAACGTCACTGACCTGTTGGAGGAGGACATGGACACTTCAGAGTCCGACATTTCTGATGAATCAGATAAAGAGTGGGGAGAATCGGACTGGTCTGGTAAGAGGCGTCCTAAGAAAAACCGGGCCCCTAAACCGAGTGGAAAACAATGCATGACCTCAACACAAGAGCCCTCACCGTCGGATGCTTCAAACCCTCAAGAGAGAGTGAATGAAACAGGAAGTTCACTTGAGATAGACAATGAGAATCCCCCACTTTCTATCTTCACGAGTTGCTGCTCCTGTTCTCGTGCATCTCAATGCAAGACAAAGAAATGCGAGTGCAGGGCCAATGAGGGACTCTGTAGAGAGGGTTGTGGGTGCAACTTAGCAAGGTGCTCAAATAGAGTTGGTGGGGTTGTTGAGGAGGGAGGGGCCTCTCCACCTGAGGAGATGGATGAGGAGGCTGAGAAGAGAGCGGAGATGGCTGCCCATGGAGCAGTGCTGTTGCAGAGTGCGCTCAAGGAGGCAGTGGTTGAGCCGCCGGTTGGTGGCCAAGGGAGGCGACCGCTCATGGATATAGGCAATGTGGCGGTATGTCTTTCTCTCATACCATGTTTTTGCACGGATATTCGTTTAGGCATATATGTCAGAGAGAGAGGGAGAGAGATTTAGTTGCAGTCTATGCCCTACCTGATAACTCTGAGTGGATTTGCTTTTGCACGATTTGGGGTCTGATAAAATCAATCAGAGAGACCAAGGGCCTAGAGGGAGCGACTGAATTCAGTCCTATTTGGTTCCCTGTGGACTTATAAAGAGGGAGAGAGCGTACAAGTTGCCCTCGTTGATCTGCACTACTATGTACTCACTTAAGAGGACAGTGAAGAGGGGAAGAGAAAATCAGCTCTAGCTCTCCTTTTATTCCCAATATAATTGAAAAGAGGGAGATATCATTGCCTTTGAACCTGGGGTGAGGAAGTTGGAGTACCGTAGTTATAGTCCCATTTGGTCCCTACATCAATTCCAGAGTACCTTTGCCCCCTAACCTGCCTTCACTTTTTCAGTGAAGACTCTCTCTCTCTCTCTCTCTCCCCATACTTGGCTTAGACATCTGATATTTTGCTTTCTGTGCAGGCTGACCCAAAAGCTCCCAAGCCAAACCAAAGGAAGAAGTGGCACAAATCGGTGGTCCAACTCGTTACCACCACCCCAAATCCGCCTGATAGTCATCAGACGACTGAGACTCATGAACCAAACAACGCAAGAGAAACCATTGGCCCCAATCTTCCCCCGCTAAAGCTTCCTCGAGCAATGCGGTTACCTGGGGCCCCTTTGAGAGAGAGGAACTTGGGCCCAGATGAAGAGCATCTTGGGCCCAACCGTCCAACAAGAGATTCAGATGAGAAGGAAAACAAGCAGACCTAACTAATCCCTGTTGGTTTGTGCTTCATGTCTGATTTCCACCATGTTGTGGTTTTATTCTTTTGGTGGTCTACACGGTTATCGGGGCTGATAATCTGGTTTGCGGGAGCCAGCAGCTTGCTAGTTCAATCATTATATTCTTTGTTGTCCTTTTTCCTTTCTTTGCTTTGAAATTCACGGAATTGGAATGGGAAATTGGGACAGCTTTGTTTGGTTCTTCATTGAATTAATATATCTTTTGAGCAAGTTGTTTCTTTGATGATATATGAGCAATTCTTATTATTTTGGTCATTTCTTATAGCAGGCTTATTGTGTGCTTTTTCCCTTTTTCTTGAAAACTGAAGTAGTCATCACCACTAATGCTGATGAATCGAATGCAAAATGAAAAATCTCCACTAGAAAATTTTAAATTAGAGAATGGTTCTAAGCCAAAGTAGTCTATGGAATTATCTCCCATTGATCCACTTTTCTTCACTGAATTAATATATCCATTCGTTGCTGCTTTGCTGTCTATATTGATGGTAATTTGAATGTACATATTATACCACTTTTGGAAAGAAGGGAACAGAAAACTTCAATAATAGCTTTTATTGTCAAAAGAGAACAGTTCCATACGAAAATATGGGGGCGCCTTCGGGACCATTTCGAGAAATAGACATAACTCTCTCCATCAAGCAAATATCAGGAAAACTCTCTCTCTCTCTCTCTCTCTCTCTCACAGAGGAGCTTTTATAAGCCTTACACATTATCAATGTATTTCTTCCAAATGATTGACATATCTTGAACAATGTGATACTGCACAATCCACAGCTACAAAGAAGAGAGGAGGATCTATCTCTATGCTATGCAAAAATTAGTTTCCTTTGCACATACGAAAAAACTGTCATATAGACAGCGTTAAGCTACAAAGATAATCTCACTCCAACAGAGTGCCACTGTCATGCACAATGAAATTCGGTAATCAATGAAACAACAAACAACAGGCCGATGATCAAGGTTTTATGGTTCAGGTGGCACAACTCAATGCTTCATGCTCTTTCCATCAACAGCCCCTGAAGCTCTTCTCGTCGCCTCTCCAAATCCTGGATTCCAGCAGTGGTCACCAACTTCTATTAGCTCATACAAGAGAAATAAGTCTCTCTCTCTCTCCAAGAAGTTTTCAAGAGTCAAGTTCCAAGGTTCATGTGATAAACAACCATAACCCACCACCCAACCAAACCCAAGCCCCCCAGAACCCCGCACCCATTCCCCTCTTCTCCCTTACTGAAAATAGATCGGAAGCCGGCTTACCATGGTGCAGTAGTTCAGGGGGTCTGGTCTGAAGCAGGACTTAAAACTCACCACTCAAGTTGAGAGAGAGAGAGAACTTAATAAGTCCAACACCCCAGCAAGTCAAGGGGATTAGGATGATGCCCTTCACCCAGATTCTGAGTGGAAAATTCTCATGCACTAATCCAGAAACATTTAACTATTTACTACCCACAAAAAGGAAAATACAAGGAAGAAACACAAATTTTATTATGCAAAAATTGGACCAATTGTAGCATACAAATTTTACAGCCTCCATATAATATATGCCACAAAGTTGCAATCCAGATTCAGAAAATTTTCAGCAACCATACTTGCTAGAGGAGTTCAAAAAATCTGAAAATTGGAGTCCCATTCTATTTGCCCAATTTGATACCATGTCAGCAAAATAGACGGTTCCGTACAAATTGAAGACCTTAAGAACAGCACACGACTTTTGATTATTCTTTGTGATCACACGAGGCAGTCATAAAATTTTTGACATAGTTCATAACTTCTTGTTACATAGAGGTCTATTTAATAAATTCAAATATCACACATGCCATACGGAATGTTCTCAGAAACAACTACAAAAAAATCCAGATAAGAGGTAACTCTTATATGCCCCCCTACCTCTAGTGACAACCACTAGCACCTATTACAAAATAGAAATTCGTGACCCATCAAACTGATATTAATCAAAATAGCATTTATTATCTGTGAAAAAATATTATATAGCAAGGTGGACTTACACCTGAAACTTGAATAAAAGATGTCCAATCCAGAGACAGATGCCTATAGCAAAATTTCTACGTGTACCTTGGTGAAACCAACATACCTTACATGGTACAGGACCAAAAAATGCCATCTGTAGTGATGATTGTATCAAACTCCTCTATACTAATTGTTTCAAAGTTCAATTTGATTCTTCATACTCTACATTATCAATACCTATTTTTCTACTATTTGAGTTTTTTTGTTTTATCAAGTTACGACAAAGCACTCCATTTATTTTGAAAGAATACAACTAGACAGAGTCCCATAGCACAAACATGAGGAGCAATATTGTAAAACCAATGCAGTTAAAGGCTCAATTATCTTCTGGGCTACTAATCATAAACATTTCAGACCCTTCCAGGCAGCCAATTTCTTCGTCAGCTGGGTCAACATCTTCTATCACCACCCAAAGAAGGTGCGGCGTTTGGCACTCTGGAGACCTCCTGAGAGGGGCACCATCAAGCTCAACTTTGATGGTTCTTCCTTAGGGAATCCCCGTCCGGCAGGCATAGGGGGAATTTTCAGAAATTCCGAGGGTATCACACTCCTCACCTACTCTATGCCCATAGGGATTGCCGAGTCTACTGAGGCCGAAACCCGAGCTCTCAAAGGACTCGGACGCTATGACTACTCGTGAGGTCTCTCTCTCCTAGTAGAAGAGGACTCACAGAATGTCATCTCCTGAGCCTCTAGTACTTCTCTACCTCAGTGGAAACTGTGGCATTTTTTTGATGAGATCCATGCTCTCTGCAGGCATATTCCAGTCTCATGGACTCATATCTGGAGGGAGGCTAACCAGGTCTCCGACGATCTAGCCAAACAGGGAGCCGATTGTCTTCTACTACCAGGATAACGGTGGCCGAGTCGTGTTTTCTTCACTGTTTTTCTTGTTTTCCGTTCTTTAGGCACTATGTTGCTCTCCTTTCTTCTTTTTTACTGTTTTCTTTCGGCTGTCAGCTCTCGGTGAATTTTGGCTTGTTGTCCCTTTGGGAACTGTTTGTAATCTTCGTTTCCATCAATACAATGTTAACAGCATCAAAAAAAAATAAATTGTAATACCAATGCAAATACAAATAGTAAGAGAATTAAGGGAGTGGATTGAAACTCCCAATTGTCAACACTCATCAAATTAGCCCCCTCCCATCTATGGACCTAGCAGTCTTACAACCGTTCTTATGATGATCGGAGATATCTAAGGAGACATTGATCCTCCAATTCCAAAACCTCCTCGATAGAATCCAACAACCTCCAGTTTTCTATAGCCTTATGGCATGCCCACTTGATCAAGTTCAGCAAGATGCCTCTGACTGCTACAGCAGTGTTCCAAAGAGTTGAAAACAGTATCAATAAATGTACCCAATAAGTGTGGTCATCAAATTCTTCCCTACAATGGTTTTGGAATAAAAGATTGGGTTCTTCTTTTTTCACTGTAAAACCAAGTTCCCAGGTTTTTCCTATAGTATTTGGGCGTAACAAATGGGTGCCAAGTTTAGCTTTCAAAGGCCCCAATTATGGTTGACTGCATAGCATCTATGGTTTAGGATGATAAAAGAGTTTACCTAGTGCTGTCCTCCTCTTATCTATTCTCATACCATGAATTCCATTTTCATACTCCTAATTCTTTCTATACAGGTGGTCAAGGGATGATCAAGGCCCTATATATACGAGCACCATTGAATATCTTAAAGCTTGTCTCCTTATAAAAAACCCATATATAGTGATAGTATAGGATCTATAGTTAGTAGAGGCCTCAAAAAGCAAACTCCTCTGAAGAAAGCAAACCAAATCTTCTAATTAGTAAAAATTACAAAGCATTCAAAATAGCCAATTTCAGACATTTGAGGGGCCATTTATTGTGCACCTAATTTAATATTGAAACTCTTATCAAGTATTGTGGACTTAAGGTGAAAATATTTTACTTAATAAGGTGAAAACAATTGAACCTTATTTTATTATTTTTAATTTTTACTTTTCGGGATTTTTGGAGCATTTCTTCAGATGTGAAACAGGAAGCCTTCATTTCCCCTCCCTTAAAATGATATTTGAAGTGAAGTTAAAAACTGTGATCAGTCCTTTGTGAACAAGTTTTGTAAGATGGACGCATTACAATGTCTACATGCATGTAAGAAAATTTATGATTGTTCATATGCAGGTCTTCACTACTCAAGTGTCCCTTCAAAGATATTTAAATCATTTACATTTACAAAGCAATGTGCATACAAGCCTCTTGGTTTATCAAGCAGGCATTAATTAACTAGACCTCAACTTTGTCACAGTAATAAGATTGACCTCCCATACATAAACCAACATGCATGCTCTGCAGAGATCTGAGCCTATTCAGACTAGTATACACTGAAACTAGTGTTTAACCACTGAGTTCCATGATAAGATAAGAAAAAAGCATTAAAATAAGATTTAAGTTGTAAGTTCCAAAAATCATTGTAAAATCTAATCAAGGAAAAGTTCGAGATACCTCTAGATCCTTGGCTGCTTGCTCTCTTGTAATCGCCTTTTGTTGACGAGCTCGCTTCACAAATCCAATGCAGAGCACTCCCTGTAAAATTTACACGTTTTTGAATTTCCTTGAGAACATTTAGAACTTTAAGGGCAGCTATTTCAGAAAATAAAACAGTTGTAATAAAGAAAAAATGATTGCGCAAGAATCATACCGAGACCACATATATTACACCACAAGCAAGAAGAAGATAGCTGGCTATTTCTTGAAGGAGTACTATATCTTGTCTCTGCTCGTTAGCATCTGAGAAAGCTTTGGTCATGACAGCAACACTGCAAGAGAACAATTATGCCTTTGGCCATAAATTTATCCGAGTATGCTTATAAATTTCTTCCCAATAATAACTGATGCTTACAAAATCTGAAGCATGCCTCTCCCCACCCAATACTCCAAAACCTGAATGACATATTTAAAATTAGATAGATGCTGCAATTAAATGTTACAAATTGCAAAAGAGAAAGTACCTGTATAAATTCAAGCTATAATTCATTGAGTGAACTCTATAGGGAGGAACTCCATTGAAGCTATCACAATGGGGATATTCTTGTTCCCTTTACAGAAGATATACATTCTTGAGATGGCTATAAAGATAAATAGCTAAATTAGCTCAGAACCTTCCTTGTTCATTCACTGTTCTATTTGCTCTTGCGTTTGGCTGAAAAGGTCACTAATTCAGAATAAAATTTTTAAAACTTGACTCAGAATAGACTTGGCCTGGTTCTGAGATTAAATATCCAGCAAAATTTTGTAAATAAGAACTTAAAAAGATCAACCAATAGTAATGTTGGGCCAACTGTTAACTCGGCTTGTGCCCTGGCTAAGCCATCTCAGGTGAGTCGAAGCTTTCGTCCCAAGATCTTAAGCAGTGGTCAAGTGCTCTACATAGTCAACATTTTTATCAAGCACCACTTGTGTTCCATCACTCAAGCTTTTAGGAAGCTAACCAATGGTCACAATACAGGAGTGTTAAATATTTGGATGTGGTTTGTACAAGTCTGAGGTCCTAAACAATCAAAGTAAGACGCACCTTCAAATAGTCATGTTATTTCAGCACTGAAAATCTTTGTGATGCCCTTAAGTTTTATATTCATCACTAATTATAAATTTAACACTTCAAAAATAGTGTAGATCGAGTCAATCTATGAACACTCTAAAATCTTGAAAATTGACAGTCCAAAATATGCATTACAAGATGCACTATTTCGAAGACTTGAATCTATTTTTCCTTATGTCCATACGCCTTGAGGTCAAGATGATTGATTTGGGAATTTTTGGGCATCGAAACAACATCTTCTAGCGAATTTTTGAGGTCTGCCTAAGGCCCCAACCTTATATATACTTTTTCCTAAATATTTTTATCTCTCTTATTACTGCCAAAAATATGTTGTGTCAAAGCTGATTTACCCTCATCTACATATGAATTCTCAAATAACATCGACTTTCTCGAAAACATTCAAAACCAATATTGAAATATAGAACAAAATGCCTCCCATCAAACCAAATATGAAGTGATGGGTCTGACGCAAAATATCTATGCTAAGATTGGCTGTCAATGTTCAAAGTCAGCTAGAAGAGTGGAAGCTTTAAAGCTGAAGTTTGGTTGGAGTCCAAATTTTTTCCTTGAAGTGGTAAAATACACGACCTTGAGCTTCAATAAAATTAATTTGTGACGTTTGGAATTAAGAAGGATGTGTAGAATTCAGTCATTGGCAAGACAGATTTACGATCTTAATACAAATACAGATACCTATCCAAAAAATGGCAAAGTGCAAATTGGGTTGTGGAATGTAGTTAGTAAACACCATTTTTCTAAGTAGATGTGGCTTTTCCCAGCTTACCATTTTTCTAAGTAGATGTGGCTTTTCCCAGCTTCTTGTTTGGAAATTTGTACAAGCTTGTTACTTTGTTTCTTAATGAAATCATCACTAACCAAAACAAAATACGGAAAAAGTAGAATAAAAATAAAGGAAAATACAAAACGTTGATTACCCGCCAGAATTTAAGTATGGATTCCCACTCAGTCTCTGCAACTGCTACAAAAAGCGCAATCACAACGGCATAACATCTTAATATCCCATCAAAAACCTGTAATTTCCAATGTAATCCAACTCAATTGATTCTAGATAACTGTAAAGATCAAGAAATCAGAGAGAGACAGAGAGAGATCCAAAATGAAGAACGCACAAAATAAAATGTAGAAAAAACACAAAATCAAGTACTAATCAAACAGGCAAAATATAAAACAAAAACCAAGGACCCAAACAGAGAGAGAGCCCCCACAATAAAGGGGAAAAAAAAACCAAAACCAAATTAAACGACCCAATAACAGAAGGAAAATAAAAATACAAAAATAAGAACCCAAATTGGGGGAAGAGAGAGAGAGCTACAAAACAGATCGCAAGCTTGCACATCAATCACTCAAAACCCATTCAACAAGCCATAATTCCAGATGAAATACATACATCAGCCCCATTTTTGAACGAATTAACGGCCGAGATCACGTTCACAGCCACACACAAGAGGGCAATCAAGACAGTGATAACACTGAAGCATCTGCAAATCACTAAGAATGGGTCTGATCGTGCCCTAACTCTTATCACCGGCGGCTCTTCAGGGTACCCACCTTCCTCTGACCTCCTCGCCATTTTCGTTTACTCCCAGTGATCCTTCAAGACACAGACGAGCTTTGGAGGAATGCTTCCTCTTTAATCCTTCTTATTATTCCGCTACTTTTGGAGGGAAATTTGGAAAAAGAAGAAAAAAAAGGCGGGGATTTTCGCTCTCTAAGTTGCGATTCTTTGGACCAATTAATACGTTTCAAATGAGGTGCCCCAAGTTCGAATCTATAAAACTTTAGAAAGAGAGAGAAGGTGAGTTCATGTAGAGAGAGAAAGTGTATCGTTGAAATGACATGTGGGTCGCTAGACAGATGACACGTTGCTGATTTGTATGGCCGGGTTTCTAGGGAATGAAAGTTATGTGTGAGGAGTGTTCGTCAAAATCGAACTGAGAGGTTAATTCAATATCGCCGGGAAGCCATTTGATAAACCGACCAATTCAACCACTTTAATCGGATAAATCTAAAGCGGTTGAATAAATTATTAAAAAAAATAAAAATATATAAAAAATAATTTAATAAAATATAAATATATATAAAAAATGATTAAAACAAAATGCTTTTAAATAAAATTGAAAATTAATGAAAAAATAGATTTTAACAAATTAATCTTTGAAAGGGGATATTTTTTAAAAAAATTGAAAAAAAATATAAAAGTAAGTATTAATGATCAAAATAATTTTTAATCTTAACCATAATGTAAAAAATATTAAAATATTTATTACAAATCAAATTCTTTATTTTTTGGAATTAATACACATTTTTTGAATTGTTTTCTTAAATACGGATTAATCACCAAAATCGGAACCGACCAGTGGCCGATTCTGATCTGACCAGGCAGTTAGCAGTTAGCTGTTAGCAGTTAGCAGTTAGATCGCCCGGTTTTTCCAATCGTGGGTGTGAGACTGGCTCCGTACTTTCTCTCTCTTCTGTCACGGCTCGTGTTACTTTCTCGCTCTAATGCCTCTTATAGGGGTTGATGGCGTGTAATTTAGAGCCGAGGCTTTAAACAATCAAAATAAAGCGTACCTTCAAATAGTGTCGGGAAATGTGGTTTCAATATTGAAAATCTTTGTGATAGCCTTAAAATATATTTTTATTTTTAATTATAAAATGTAAAGCTTTAAAAATAGTGTACATCGAGCACATCTATGAAAACTTAAAAATCTTGAAACTTGACGGTCTAAAAATGCGTTACAAGATGCATTATTTTCTAAACTTGAAATCCATTTTTTTCTCATTTCCATACATCTTGATGTCAATATAATCAATTTGAGGATATTTGGCCATCAAAACAATCTCTTCTAGTGAAATTTTTTATGTGGGCTTTAATTTGAGCGTTTAGAGCCTCAGCTCTGTATATGTGCGTGTTACATGAGTACAAAAGAGGGGGGAGATAAAAAACTATTTGTTTGGATTTTTGGGCATCAAACAACCTCTTTTGGTGAAATTTTTGATGTGGGCTCTAATTCGATCGTTTAGAGCCTCAGTTCTATACACGTGCATGTTATGGAAGTACAAAAGTGGGGGGAGTTAAAAAGACTATTTGTTTGGATTTGATAACGGAAAAGGATTATATAAGGTCTCAACCTTATAATGTAGAAGTCATGTGCACCTCAAAAACTCATTAAAAAATATTGTTTCGTCACTAATAAATTATTCAATTGATTATCTTGACCTTGATATATATGGAAATAAAATAAAAATTAATTCCAAATTTTAAAATTAGTCCATCTTATAACGCATTATTTACACTGTCCATTTTCAAAAATTTCGAGTGCTCATATATTGCACCATTTTTGGAGCTTTCAATTTCATTATAGGGGTGAAAAAAAAGACTTTTAGGTCATGATAAGAGTTTTGGCACCAAAAATGCATCTTTTAATGAGATTTTGAGGTGCACCTCACCGTGATTGTTAAAAGTTGACACCTTATACAAACCTCACCCTTTGTTAACATACTATATGGCTATTTATCTTTATTGCAAGGATATCACAATATCTCTTAGCCACCAAATATTAAATTGGATGGCTTGAGGTTTTTACGAAGATCAAATTTTTTTTTCAACTTTGAGCATAGTCAATGACGTTGTTATGAGCACCTGGTTTTAAATCTAATGGACAAATGTTTTTGTAACCTCCTTGTACCAAAAGTAAATAGTTCCTTTGTATAATTTTCATTGATTTATTTGATCTAAAATATATTATCTTATTTAAATTTGAAGAATGTTAAAATAAAGCCAACGATTTATGAGAAAAAAAAAAAGCGATAAAAAGCTTATCTTAAAGCTCACATAAAAATATAATTTCAGCATAAAAAATCTTAAAATCGATCATCTTGACCTTAATCATTATCGTTGAAAAAAAAAAAATTGTTATTTCAAGTAATAACATAGAATATATTCGAATACATTATCTAGATCATCCATTTTCTAGTATTTATGGATCCACAAGATCTATATTATTTTTTGAGCTACAAATTTTATAATTTGTGGTAAAAATAAATTTTAGATCCATATTAGGGATTTCCTATGCCCAAAGTGTTTTCCGGACACAATATCAAGGTGAGGCTTTATTTTTTTTTCACAAGGCCTAAACCTTATAGATATGACATCATTAGAATTTTAAATCAATTATCATCATAGTGAAAGCATTTTCCCAACTAATTCGGATCGGCTACAAGAATCCTGATCTGTCATTCTACTCTATTAAAGGTCATAAACTCAATGAGGTCATAAGTCATTATATCTTTTCTCACTACTTCAAACCATATCTTTTTGGGCTATATTTTGTCATTTCCTAGCCTTCCACTTGAATTGAATCTACCTCTTAATAGGTGTTGTACTGAGTTTGCGTTACACATGGCCAACCCACATAAGTTTACTTTATCTCATCTTATCACTTATTGGTTCCACACCTAAATTCTCCTGAATATATTCATTTCGATCTCTATCCCTTATTGTCTTGTCACTCATCTATCTCAATGTCCTCATCTCAACTACACACATTTTACGAATATGTTGTTTATTGACCATCCAACATTCCACCCCTATAAAATTAAATCAGTCATACAGTTTTCCTGTAAAACTTACCTTTCAGTTTCATTGGTATGAAGCGATCACATAAAACTCTAGTTGCACATCTCTATTTTGCCCACCCAGTTTTTAATTATATATATGCGACATCTTCCCCAATCCTTACATCATCCTTTAAATCAATATAGGTTAAATAATGCTAATATGTTAGTTGTTTGATACTGTCTTGTGTGGTGTATATTACCATTTAAATATTTATTTATTTTTTATATTTTCATCTATCTTTGGCTATTTCTATGTGAATTTCAGCAAATTATTTTGTTATCATGATTAACTTTATTAAAATCAAAATAGCCCTAAGAGTCCAAGTAGTATAATTTTTTTTTTGAGAAGCTTGATTCTCACTCCTTTCTCAGGTCCAAGAGTATATATTAAAAAACAAATAAAAAATGAGAAGCTTGATTCTCACTCCTTTCTCAGGTCCAAGTGTATATATTGAGGAAATAATGTATCCCTCTCTTGGAATTTCGAGGTAAAAGAAGATTAGCAGCACAAATGCCTTCTCTCTTTCTTTTTATTTAGTCACATTTACCTTTTCTTTCCTTTATTTTTATTCACTTTTGCTGTTCTCTCTCTCTCTCTCTCACACCCTCTTTTCTCCTCTGCTTTGTGGAATGAGAAACATTAGTTTTTAACTTCTATTGGGATTAACACTGAATGTGTTAAACTTTTCATAAACCAAAGTTGGTTTACATGTGTGCTTAGCTATACAAAATCACTGAGGACCATATAAATTAGAATCTTGTGAGAGCTAATGGATTTTTGGCCCCCCTTGGCTAAATTATTTGCTATTACAATCTCTTCCATGTAAACATGATCCAAAGATATCTCTAGGCCCCAACTTTTATCTCCGATTTTCTTAAATGGTTTTGTTAGGCTACTCATTTTTTTGAGTATTTCATGAACTTGATATTTTTTGACACTTGATATCTTTAGTCATGAGTTACTTTTTGCTTAGGGATATTTAGGTAATCGATCACGGATAAAGTATAATCTCTTGGTAAAAACAAAAACATTTATAAACTAGGGAAATTTATCAAATTACTCATGACTTCTGAACTATTTAACATCTTACCCATATTTTAAAATTTCCATCATTCTTTTGATCAAATTTTGAATAGGCCATCAACTAACACATTAAATAGGTTTTGAAAATTATTAAAATAAAAAGTTAAAATGTAAATTATTCAAATTTTTTGTATATTTTAACAAATTGTTCTATTAATTATAATATACAATGACGTTACTCATATAGAATGTGACACTATCCACATAAGATGTGACATCAGCCATACGTTTTTCAACAGCGAATCAAATATCATTGTTTTTTTTTACAAACATTTATTCTACCGCTCAAAATCCTCATGTACTACGGAGTAAGGATAATGTGTGTCTAATTAATATTTATTGAGGAAATACCCTATAAGAAATAATAGTTTAACAAAACACCTTTCTAAAATGGGATGTATATGCCAAGGGCATGATTGGCTCTCTTTTAATCATTTAAACAGTAGTTATAAAATTCTCATTGTTAATTGTATTTGGCCCCATCAATCCAATCTAATCCGCAAATATTGTATATTTGGATTGTATTATCATAAGAAAAGTATCGGCCCCAAATAGTTGAGAAAATAATCTAATGATGATAATGATCATAGAAAAACTATACAATAAGATTGAATGTCACAAATCACCTTAGCCATTGAATGGGAGTGAAATCAAACTCCAAAATAAAATTTTTGAACTCTATAGCACGTTTTTAGCTATTAGATTCTTTAACTCTATACCATATTTTTCGCATAATGGAAAAACATAATTCTTGTTACTAACCCCAAATAATCAAAATAAGGCTTTGATGATGAAATTTTTTGATGATTAAAAATAATTAGAACCTTCTTGTGCCAAAATAATTAAAAATCCATAGTTGTTTTTTGGCATAATCTTGTTGAGTGTATGGGGTGGATTGAATAAAATATGGGATTGTATACTATGACACTATTTACCTTTGTTACAAGGAGGTCACAAATACCTCAAGCCATCCAATTTCAAATTAGACAATTTTAGTCGTATCACGAAGTATGAATTTTTTGTTTTGAATTTTAAACTTAGTCAATGACACACTAATAACCACCGGATTTGAAATCCAACAGATAAAAGCAATTATGACTTATTTGTATCAAAAGTTAATAATATCTTTGTATACTTTCTCATAAAATAAAGGGAAAAAATCATCGTACCCCTTATTTTTTGTTTTGATATCTCATTAGGCCCAAAGATTTAAAATATATCTTCTAACCCTCTAACTAACTTTACCTACTTTTAACTACTTTTTAGCCCTAACAAATACAAAAGACATGCTCATTCTAAACCCTTCTTCTCTTTACGTGCCCTCAAATTTCTATCTCTCTAACATTCACCCTCTTTGTCTCTCTAATGGGGACAGAGTGAGTGAGAGACACGAGGGAGAGAGAGTAGGAAAATACAGAGAGAGAAAAAGATTTAGAGGAAAATCACATGAAGAGAAAGAAATGGTGTTTATAAATGATATATCTTTCTTATATTTGTTTGAGGCAAAAAAATAAGTTTAAAGGAAATAAAGTTAACTTAAGGAGTTAAAAGATATAAAATTTAAATTTTGTATGATTCAATATATGTTTTGAAACTTAGGATCTATGGAGATATAAAACTTAAAAATGAGAGGTATAGAGATATTTTCCCTAAAGTAAACCCCTATTCATTTATTTCTTTATTTGGCTCTTGTGCATTGCAAATACAGACCTCATCAAGCAACACAACAAAAATCAATCAAACAACACACTTTACTCACAAATCACTTTGACATTAATCCCTAATTATTAATAAAACATACTTGGTATTAGGTACAAATTAATGATGCTCTTACAACCATCAATTTTGAAATCGTAAAGGCAAGAATGATTATGACAACGTTGTGATGTTCATTCCTATCACTAATACCACTCTAATAACATCTTCAAAAAACTAACTCCTAATCTACTTGAAAAAATAGGTTGAGGAATGTATTTCCCAATGAATTACCAATAAAACAAATAAATAAATAGCCTCTTTGTGTACAATCTCCTAAATTATTATATTTTATGATGGCATCAATTAGGATGGATCATTCTTTCATGATTTCATCATGAGAAAATATCGCTAAAATAGTCCATCATCTACAATGTCATTGCCATGGTCGATCAAGAGCGCGTATGTTATGCTCCAACCGGCGCATACTGACCATCTACTCGTTTGGGTATAAAATGGTAAGGACACAATTTTTATGTGTCCACGGCCTTTTAATAATTTATTTTAAAAATAAAATTTGTCCTTAATTTTTAGAGAATATATAATCTTTAACAGAGCGATTAATAATGTATAAAAATAAATAATTTTAATGATATTTTTTTGGATAAAATATTTGAATAATTGATTTTACAATTTTTTTTGGAGGACCCTATTATTTACTGGACTCAGTTTTGGCGAACAACATAGATCTCTAAGTTCACGTAGTAACTGCTGCGAGCTTGGACACACCAAACAATTTTCCAAAACATAATGAGGAAGATTTTTTTAATCTAAAGATGAATATTTTCCAAAAAAAAAAAAAAATTAAATTGTTTAAAGGGTGCAACATATGGATGCATCCGTAGGTGTAGAGGTAAGGTGCATCTTCAAATTTTATCATAGTATATAATTTTGATGTAAAGTGTTGTTAGGATTATCTCAAAATCTATTTTTATATGTAATTATAAAATTTTAAATTTAAAAACTAAAAAAAATCAAATAGATCTATAAACGTACGAAAATCTTGAAAATATATAATGTAGATAATATATTGTAAAATGCACTATTTTTGGAATTAAAAATATTTTTATTTTTCATCGTCCTATATCTTGATGTTGAGATGATTAATCACATGGTTTTTCAACATTAAAACTACATTTTTTTGATGGATTTTTGAGGTGCATCCGTAGTTGTACATTATAAGCTTGGATCCTTATATAAACTTTTTATTTTTTTAAAATCAATTCGTTATTTTAAAAATCTGTCTCACTCCGCCTCCTCAACTCTATTATTAGAAAATAACCCAAAATGTTTTAGTCTAGCGTTTAATCTTGAAAGCATGGGTATTTTAATTTAGAGAGCTCTGCACCATTGTTACTTTTACGAGAAAAAGGGAGTTTTATAATTGCATTTCTCCTCAGATTCAGAGCTTTAATCTGCAAATTTAATGGCGGAGCTCTCTAAGAAAGTGGAAGAAAGGAGCTGTACTGGAGAAATTGAAAATAAAAATGTCAGCAAGCCTGGTTCTCTTCATGGTTATGAGTCGCTTTACCAGCTCCTTGAATCTTCTCTCAAACCGGAGGTCTTTCAGGTAGTACAAGCTCTCTTTCCTTTATCGGATCTTCTGGTATCAGATTTTCTGGTTTAACTCGCATGCATACATGGTGCAATCTCTGCGAAACTTTTAGACTCTTTTTTTACTGGAATCGAGGCTTTGATTTTGTGAACTTACATGAGTCTCTCTCTCTCTCTCTCTCTCTCTGCCTAATGGAAATAACACGCTATCTTTCTCTCTCTAATTGAATTAACACCGTGTCTACTCTTCTGTTGAGAATTAGGATTTGTGTAGTTAAATTCAGTGTACAAGACAGCATCTCTCTGAAACTTGCGGAATCTCTTTTTCTTTAGCCAAGTGAAGTGTTCTTCATGCGGATAATTCAGTGTATCTCAGATTACTTGTCCCTCCTTTTTTTTAAGATATGTGGTGCCTCTTTTTAGAGAACACATTAGAGTTGCATGTTTCTCAGGAACTAATTTTTATTTGTGGAAATTAGGGTTTCTTGGAGTAGGTAAACTGCAGTCTATACATATGGGCTATTAAAACTCTACTATGCATATACTGAGTATTTACTTGAGGGAATTGGCAAATATATCAGTTTTCTTTGATGAAATTGCTGATGATCTCTTTTGGCAGTTAGGGCGTATTGGAAATTAGGGTTTATACCAGTTAATTTGGAAGTATAATGGAGATCGTAATGGATGATCTCCCTGAAACGAAGTGCATCTGTTTGTGTAACACTCATTACCAGAATAGTTTCTATATTCTTTACTGGGAATGAAAGACTGCAAGTAGTCAATCTGAGAAAGATATATCAGAAGGTTTCTTCCTTAGAATTAGATAAAATGGAATGCAAAACAACATTTCAAGAATCGAACTGGATATGTGAGATACAAGGTTTCTTCCTTAGAAATAGATAAAATGGAATGCAAAACAACATTTCAAGAATCGAACTGGATATGTGAGATACACCTCTCTATGTTTGGCCATAGTCTCACAAATATTATTGAATTTAAAGTTATGGAGAACTTTACATGGAAATGAATGAAGTTGCTCAGTCAATGCTTATTCGAAAAATCAAATTTTAGGTTTTAGTATATTGATGTAAGAACTATGTATCGAATTTCCTAGGGGTGCAATTCAGTGGCTCCTGAGCAAAAGGCAGAAAAGAGAAGAATAGCTGGTAAGATTAAAGAAGGGAAGAGAATCTTTTTTTGGTCACCATAACAAAGGTAGTTTTAGGTTAGGTTGGATGTCATAAGTTTAACATTTTAGCTTATTTCAGTTGAGATGTGCTCTGGGCCCCATATGCAGTAGTATAGTAATATTGAATAATAACCACTGGCCTTTGGATCAAATATTTCAATTATTCCTGTGTTCGTATTTCAAAACTCAAAGGGATGCACATGATCAAAATTTTATTTTTATCTTCCAACTGAATTCTTCCTCAATATTCCATTCTGATTAACCAATTCTTACCAGAACTATGGATCTGAAAATGAGGAATACCCTTCTTTTTCTTTTCTTTTTATTTACTTCCCTCATTAACTGGAAACTGGTTTAGGGTAGAGTGGCTCCTATAAACCCAATTATAGTCACAATATGTCCAATTCTTGGTGTGACCACTTTTTTATCCAGCTTCTGCTGAAATCTTTTATGTCCTTTTTTTCTCCCCTCTTTTCTTTTTCACCATGTTTAACCATTACTAAAGCTGAGATTTTAAACATTGTTTAAAACCTGTTATCAAATTTTGTGGAGATTTATTTGATCGATTAGTTGATTTAAGACATCCACTTTACTCTCTGTTAGTTGCATGCATATTTTGAAGATTAACAGGTGGAGTGAGGCAATAAACTGGGTCTTAGTGTATTTAACTATTAAAGCCTAAGGGGTTGACAAAAAGCCGTTATCTTAATCCGCATGAAAGCAAAACAAGTTAGAATAAGAAATATATATGAGAACCTTGAAGTTATTCTGATCGGAGTTGCCCTTTTTGTAAGCGTAGGAGTTTTTAATAATTCTCAGAATCAACGGGAATTTTATATTCATATGTACCAGTAAAGGGTTCATGAAAAGCCAGATTCTATGGCAGTTTTAAGAAGTCTAAAATTCCAATTAGGTTTACTCATGGACAGGATATACATAGACTTGTTTTTTGTCTTTGAAAAATTAAATTCTGAGGTACTCATGTTTATTTTTACCATGCCATTACAAGTGCAGGAAGTCAGCCGTTTGCTTTTGGGTTTGAATTGTGGAAAACCTCTTGAACGATTAAACTTGCCAGTCTCAGCTACTGCAATTTCTTCAAAGTCAGATTTTGACATACAGGTAAAGCAATTCACCATCCTTGGGGTACAGAATCAATAGCACTCACCTTACCTTTTTGTCATTTGAAATTTAATTTTTGGCAATCATTTAAACTTCCTTAATTAGACAGGCTTATCGTTTCCATACTGATGAAGAGCATGAGCGGAAACCTCGAGTTGTCCGAGTTGGTCTCATCCAAAATTCTATTGCTATTCCTACCACTTTACCTATGCCTCATCAAAAAAATGCAATTATGGAGAAGATCTTACCCATGATTGATGCAGCCGGTGCCTCTGGGGTGAACATCTTATGCTTACAGGTAAACTGTAAATTATTTCAATGCATCTTCCTTTTTGTTGTCATGATATTTGATTAATTATACAAGTAGATTACAAGTATCACCTCTCAATGAATCTTTTTTGGGAAATGATCCTGTAGGACAGGCTGACAGGAGTATTGCTATATTCCCTGATCTCCTCCAGTGGAACTCTGCCATGGATGGTGGAGATGATCCATAGTGTTAGACATCATTGAGAGCTATGGAGCATCTCCACCATCCATAATAGAGAACCAAAGGTGAAGATTGGAACTTAAAACAATCCTGACATGGTTCTACAGGGCATTTCCCATGTCTTTTCTATGGATACAATTATTGGTTCATTATAAGAATAAATAAATCAATAGAGGATGGTAATGCTTTATTTGGCTAATGTTTCTCCAATACCAACATTAATTATAAAGAAGACGTAAAAGCTAGCACTTCTTTGATGCATGAACAGGAGGCTTGGATGATGCCTTTCGCATTTTGTACTCGAGAAAAGAGTTGGTGCCAATTTGCAGAGCCTGTGGATGGTGGAGAAACCACAAAGTTTCTGCAGGCCCTTGCACTGAAGTACAATATGGTTATAGTTAGCCCAATTCTTGAAAGAGACATCGACCATGGAGAGACCATTTGGAATACTGCAGTTATTATTGGTAATCAGGGCAACATTATGGGGAAACATCGAAAGGTAATCAAATACTCGTAAATGACGCACTTTATTGCCTCCATCCTCCTTCCCCCCGCCCCCCAATGTCATTGTTTAAAAACTCTTTGAGCCGACTCAGAGGTCGCCTAAATTGGCTTGGCTCATGACCCTGGCAAGTCCCGAGCCAGTAATAACTTGGGACTCGTCTGAGTCTTACTTTTTTCTGGCCCTGATATATTAATGTCTATAGAGAACCTAGGTGAACTGGCTGGCTTGGTCTTGGGACTAGCCATTTCCTTACCCAAATCTGGGTTCACACACATTCTCTCTCTATGCACAGTCACATAGCTATCGTCTATCTCTCATGCACAGAGATAGAGAGAGAGAAGCTTGGTTATTTTCTGTCACTGATTTTTTGTTTAGCTACCAGGGTAGTAGTATTCATGGGATGGTATTTTTTCCTGTCAGAATCACATCCCAAGAGTTGGCGATTTTAATGAGAGCACATATTATATGGAAGGTAATACTGGTCATCCTGTTTTTGAGACCTCATTTGGAAAGATAGCTGTGAATATTTGCTATGGGCGGCATCACCCTCTGAATTGGTTGGCTTTTGGCCTTAATGGTGCTGAGATTATCTTCAATCCATCTGCTACAGTTGGTGAGCTCAGTGAACCAATGTGGCCTATTGAGGTTAGTTTTATGATCCCTGAGAACATTTCATACTAACACATCCAAGGTTGTGTACATATGTATGAGTGCAATAATGTAATATGTAAGATGTTATGTATGTGTGTATGTATGTATGTACTAGGTATGTAAGATGTTATGTATGTGTGTATGTATGTATATACTAGGTATGTAAGGTGTTATGTACGTGTGTATGTATGTACTAGGTATGTAAGATGTTATCCATATGTATATGTGTGTGTACTTGTGTATATGCATGTGTGTATGATCGCCTGTAGCTGAATTGTTAGTGTTCACGAGGAGCTTGTACTCTTAATGTGAGCTCTCCTCAAGGAAAATGGTTTTTGAGAGGTCATGCTCTAGAGTAGACTTGGTTGTTTGGACAGCTAGCAACTGAACCTTTCTGAGTGTCACCAGGCCATTTCGGAGTACCTATCAACAAAATATTTGCTTTTCTATAGGGGTCGTAAAGTCAAGATCATCGTACCTTAATCTCATGTTAGTGGCTCTCTGTCTCTCTCTGAAGTTAAGATCATCATACCTTATTCTCATGTTTACGACTCTCTCTTGCTCTAAAGTTAAGATCATCATACGTTGATCTCATGTTAATCTCTCTCTCTCTCCCCTACATGCACTATATCACTTTCAGGCCCGTAATGCAGCCATAGCCAACAGTTATTTCGTTGGATCCATCAACCGGGTTGGCATCGAAACCTTCCCAAACCCATTTACTTCAGGAGATGGTAAACCCCAACACAGCGATTTCGGTCATTTTTATGGCTCCAGCTACTTTTCAGCACCGGATGCCTCTTGTACCCCATCTCTCTCTCGTTACAGAGATGGCTTGATGATCTCAGAGATGGACCTCAATCTGTGTAGACAGGTTAAAGATAAGTGGGGATTTCAAATGACTGCCCGTTATGAGATGTATGCGGAAGAACTCTCTCACTATTTGAAACCAGATTTCAAGCCTCATGTTATTACTGATCCACTGTTGCAGAAGAGAGCTTAATGGAGATTTAATGGTTCAATTTCAAAAAAAAGATAAAAGTTGAGGTGGGTAAGTTTCTTTCTTTATGGTTATCTGAATTGCATGTGCTTGACCGACTGAAGATGGTTTGCCTAAGGATTTATTTCTTGCATTTGAATGGTCTTCGTTAAAGGTTATTATGGTTTTTCTAAGTATTATGGTTTTTCGGAATTGTGCCTGCAATATGCAGAAATTAGTCAACCCTAATTAATTAGGAAAAGGCCGTGATGATGATGATATTACAGAAATTTACAAGATGGATTGCTTTGCTTTGAGGTTGAGGTTGTGTTTCCTCTTCGCTTCCTGGAAATAATGCGGCAGCTTAACATGTGTTTGAAATACATAAGGAAATTCAGATAAATTTTGTGTTGGCATATCCGAACACACGCATTCTCAATTTCTATATATATAGGGTGCAGTTTGCATGCGGATGCATCCGTAGGTGTAGAGGTAAGGTGCACCTTCAAATTTTATCATGGTATATAATTTTGATGTAAAATGTTCTCAGGATTATCTCAAAATCTATTTTTATATCTATTTATAAAATTTTAAATTTTAAAAATCGTTAAAATCAAGTAGGTCTATAAACATATGAAAATCTTAAAAATGGATGGTGTAGATAATATGTTGTAAAATGCACCATTTTTAAGACTTAAAATCTTTTTATTTTTCATAGTCATACATCTCGATGACGAGATGATCAATCAAACGGTTTTACAACATTAAAACTATATTTTCTAATGGATTTTTGAAGGGCGTACGTCGTTCTATATTATAAGGTAGTATCCTTATATATTTTTTTTTCATATATATATGGAAAAAGCTTGGGTGAGCCCACTAGCTCACAGGAAAAAAAAATGAGCCCAACGGTTCAGATTGAATCTGGATCGATTTTACGATCACCGATGTTCGGTAGTGTTTGAATTTTAATTTTAATTTTTTTTCTACAAATCTAAATCACTTGAAACTTTAGGCTAGTGTTTTTCTCATCAAGCTGTTCTTAATAATAATAATAAAAAAATAGTTTGTAAAAAAATTGATCAAAATACCTCCAAAACTTTTTGGGGATATTTTGGTCAATTTATTTAATGTAAAATATGTTTTTGATATTTTTCGAAGATTCATTTATTTTTTATATACATAAGTTCCAAATTTCAAGTGATTTGGATTTGGAGAAAAAAAATTAAAATTCAAACACTATCGGACATCCGTGATCGTCAGATCGGTTTAGATTCAATCTGAGTCGTTGGGTTCATTTTTTCCTGTGAGCTAGTGTATGGAAAAAGCTTGGGTGAACCCACTAGCTCACAAGAAAAAATGTGTGTACTAAATTTTGGATCATACAAATACCACAAACATGATTTTTTAGAAGTGTCGTTGCATTATACTATGATATAACCGTTGCATGAAATCACTGTCCACATATATATATATAATATGCTACTTTGTAAGTCTCAAGGAACCAACATAAAAGAATCAAACAAATAAATACACAAAACATATGGGACCAGAGTAAAGAAAATGAGGATATTTTATAAGGGGTGAGGTTCTATAAGGCGCCCACGGTATACAATACAAGGCGCACCTCTAAATTTTGCCGGAAGATGTAGTTCCGGTGTTGGAGACCTTATGATGGCAAGGCACACCTCTAAATTTTGCCTGAAGATGTAGTTCGGGTGTTGGAGATCTTTTGATGACTAGAAAATCTATGTTCAACCTTTAATTATAAAATTCAAAATTTAAAATAGTGTAGATCGAGGATGAGAGTCCTGGCAGGATTGGTTAGTGCTTGGGGGAAACGAGCCTAATTTCTCGGGCTCGATTCCTATCCCTTGTGGGTTGAAGGGCGAATCAAGCCTTCCGCACCTAAAAAGGTAGGGAAAAAAATAAAAGATAGTATAGATCGAGTTGATCTATAAATACTTGAAAATCTTGAAAATGGACTGTCTAGATCACTAGTTACATAATGCATTATTTTTTGTAATTGAATTTTTTTTTATTGTATCCATACATCTTGACGTCGAGATCCATACATCTTGATGTCCATATGATCAATATAAAGCTTTTCCAGCTTAGGAACACTCTTTTCTAGCTCTATATTATAAAGTTGCAACCTTGTATGAAATTGTCTTCAGTGTAGAGTCCTTCCAAGGGCAGTATTATGGGCCGAGTCCATTTGGACTTGGCAAGGTACTTGGCCTGGGCGAAGCCAAGAGGCCAAGTTGCCCCGAGGTGTATGTACAACTCAGGGTATATAAAAAGTTAATTTTTTTTATATATGATTTGATTGTTTTTGGCAAGGATATGTCTTTTGTGATAATTTCTATTTTTATATTTTCGTTTTTTGGAATTTTTAAATTGTCCTCAACTATAAATATTTTTTAAAATCCATTTTTCTTTACTTGTCTAGGATTTTATAGACTTTCTAAGGTTGCTTTTATATTTCTTCTAATTTTCCTACCTTTACTTTAATATTTTATTTTTGATTTTCATTTTTACTAGGTCTTTTGGGCCTGTACGGATCTCGGAGAGGTGCCCAAGTAACTCGCCTCGGGCCAGGGCAAAAAACTCACCTCATGCCAAGTCCCCTAACATTGATCTAGTGTGATAATGGGTCCCAACCCAGGCCGAGGCCCATGTTGGTTCCAAGTTGTTGGACCCCGACATGATCCGATCAGTTCTAATTCTAGATAAAAAATTTCTAATAAAAAATTATAAATAATTTCTAATATAAAATTTAATCTCGTTTTAGTTTTTGTATTTAAAAAAGAAAATGTTGTCATAATAGTGCAACACTATCAAAATAAGTAAGTCCTTACCTCAAAACTCACAAAAGATTGCAGTTCTGACCCTAAAATGCCTTCAAATCAATAATCTCGGCCTTGAATATTATAGTTGTGAAAAAAAATTAAGATTTCAAGATCTAAAATAGTGTATATTATAACACATCATCTAGACTGTCCATTTCACCGTAAAAATGAGTGTTCTGAAATTTACAAGATAGTTGGTGTTGAAAATTGATTTTAGAGTCATAATGGAGATTTCTAATGCCCACAATGCTTCCACATGATGATTCAAGATGAGGTTTTAATTTGTTTTCCTAAAACCTAGGCCTTAAAGAAAGCATCCATTTAAAATAATTTCATATATCTCATATTTTACAACCAAGTACTATTTTTTAGAATATAAAGTATATCTTTATTTAGTCTCTTTTTCTATCGAATTAAGCACAAATTTGATATTTCATATTTTGACCACTATACACCTATAAAAAAGTTTAAAAATAATTTAATACAACTAAAATTGTAAAATTACCCTAAACAGTATAGGGGTAGTTTGATAATTTTATTTATTTTAAAATTATTTTTTAAATATTTTTTATAAGTATATGATGGTAAAAAGTGTGGTCATATCAAATTTGAGCTTAATCTAATATATAAAAAAGAGTAATGATACTATGAGAAAGTCGTAAAATTAAACGCTTTGTTCTCTCAAAATGAGAGAATTTATAAAATGTGAAATATATATAGGAAAAAATTTATATGGAGCCAAGGCTCTAAACAATCAGATTAGATCCCACCTCAAAAATTTCAGTAGAAGAGATTGTTTTGATGTTTAAATATTCTCAAATTGATTATCTCAACATCAAGATGCCTAGACATCAGGAAAAAATGGACTTCAAGTTTTGAAAATAGTGCATCTGGTAATGCATTTTTAGACTGTCAATTTCAATGTTTTCAAATTTTCATAGATCCACTCGATCTACACTGTTTTTAAAGTTTTAAATTTTAAAATTTTAAAATTAAATATTAAAATTTTAAAATTAAATATTAAAATATATTTTAAGGCTATCACAAAGCTTTCCAATATTAAAACCACACTTCTCAACATTATTTGAACGTGGGCTTTACTTTGATTGTTTAGAGCCTAACAAAGATCTCCCTTTCTCATCTGGTATTGCAACATGTTTCCTTTCATGGTGTCAATGCTGTGGCAAATAAAATGCGCTCGTAGGCATTTTTTTTATAGGGAAAATTTAAACATGATACCATATAAGTAAGATATATGTGATCCCCATTGTCAACCAGATCTAAACCATCTTATCTAGTTAGACAGTTTGAATAACTTCAGTTACTTTGATTTTGTTATAAACCCATCTTGCATGAAATTTGGCATGTGTCTTTTACTTTATTAGGGCACATTTTGTAAAAATAAAAGAGAAAATTACATAAATATATTTTAAGCTTTGTGTTATTAAAGATTTACCAAATAGTTTCCGTTATTATATGTATGTCTGTTTTTTATATTTTATAACGAATTTTTTTAAAAAAATACAACTTTACCCTTTTTCGGATGTTGAACAAACCAAATTGGAGGGTTTTTCAAATGTTCAATATCTGAAAATAGGTCGAAAGTTTAACGTTCACATTCTCATTTTCGGGTGTTGAACATCTGAATTGAAAGGTTACGTCGATACATCGTATTCCTTGTGAAAATGGTTTTGGATATTCAATATCCGAAAATATGACATTTCCGAAAATGGTTTCGGATGTTCATCATTCGAAAATGACTGCGAAATTCCAAAGACTTTCTAGAAATTCAAAGTCATATTTTTGGATGTTGAACATCCGAAAATATGACATTTTCGGTTGTCCAACATCCGAAAAACCCTTTAATTCGGATGTTCAATGCCGAAAAATGAGAATTTGAATATTAAACTTTCGGTCTATTTTTGGATGTTGAACATTCGAAAAACCCTCAAATTTGGTTATTCAATATCCGAAAAAGGGCTAACTCGTCTTTTTTAAACAAGTACGTTATAAAAAGTATAAAACGGGCATACATGTAATAACATAAACTATTTGGTACATTCGTAATAACGCAAAGTATAACGGATATATATGTAATTTTCTCAAAATAAAAACACCAAAATATCCATGCATGTGCCCTTGGGTATTTTGCTGATTTTCATTAAAAAAAAATTTATTTTATTTTTTCAAGTGTGCGCATATGACCTAATCTCTCGAATAAAGTTCATATGCTTAAAACCTAACTTATAACGTTATTTTTTAGCTATCCAACCCCACTCAAATCGGACAATCGAGAATAAAGGCTCACATATATTTGGGATTGTATACAATGAGGCCATTTACCTTTTGTACAAGGAGATCACAATTACTTATAACCACTTTATGTAAAATCTAACAGCTTGGGTGTGTCACAAAGTTCAAAAAAATTTATTTTGATCTTTGAGCTTGGTCGATGAAATAAATGCAACCACTCAATTTCACATTCATTGGTGAAGATTAATTATGATCATTGTACCAAAAGCAAATATTCTCATTGTACACTTTCCCCATATATTTTGTATAAATAGCACCAAAAGTAAAAGTTCTCATTCTTTTCCAAAAGAGGTTCTTTAAGATTGTACATATGTAATGTATAGATGTTATGCTTCAATTTAATCTCATCCGTCGATGGAGACAATGGACAACAATGTTCGTAAAATCGAACCGGAACGGTTAACCAGTTTTGGTACTGGGAGCGATTTGAACTGGAATCGGACTAATCGGGGCGGTTAACTATTTTAACCGGTCAAGTAGTTTTTTTTTTATATAAAAAAGTAAGAAACATCCAAAAAAATTAAAAAAAATTGAAAAAAAATAGAAAAACTAAGATTAAGTGTATACTATTATATTACATACATTTATCTTACAAAAAAAATTGAAAGAACTTTTTATATAAATTAATATTTGAATACTATAAAGATATGCAAGACAATTTAGAATTTGACATTAATTCAATTAATGAAGTTACAAAGTCCAACTAACAATGCTAGTAGTAATGAGAGCGGCGAGGGGGATCATGATATTCTTGTGTTTCACTATCAGGATTTACGGGGAGAAAAATTTGAGTAAGGCTTGGTGGAGTATGTAATGCCGCAATTGTGCTCCTCGCCAGTCAAGAATATTTCTTGTGGTACCCCCTTGGCCAAAGTCTCCTAGACTCGTCCAGTCTTGATGCTCTCCCCCACCATATTTTGTGTTACCGCCACCATGTTTTGTGTTACCCGCACCTGTTCTGTGTTACCTCTACCTTGTTTTGTGTTATAGCCCTCAACATATTCAATATTGTCAGCATCATGAATAACAAGGTTACGGTTACGATGACGGCTATGGCTTCGTCTCTCCCTTGTTGAGTAAATTAATGTTATATAATTTATAAATATATATATTATATAACATTAAAAACAATCTTCACAAAAAAAATATCAATTTTATTTTTCATTCAATAAACCCTAAAATCCCCAAAATCCCCAAAATCGACCTCCAAATTTTTGTTTTTGTTCTAAAATTCGTTCATTTATTTTATGCAATCAATAATCTCACACAAATATTGTTTATATATATTCTCATATTCATCACAAAAAACATATTTTTATAAATATATATATTATATAACATTAAAAACAATCCTCACAAAAAGAAATATCAATTTTATTTGTCATTCAATAAACCCTAAAATCCCCAAAATTGAACTCCAAATTTTTGTTTTTGTTCTAAAATTCGTTCATTTATTTTATGCAATCAATAATCTCACACAAATATTGTTTATATATATTCTCATATTCATCACAAAAACCATATTTTATAAATATATGTATTATATAACATTAAAAACAATACCTC